ACCTTCGCTTCCCCACCTTCCAGTTTCAGGGAGTTTGCACTGGGCTTGTTGCCGCCCTTCTAGTCTCTCCGTCAAATTGCATTTGCCGGGGGCTGGAGCCGTTCCCCTGCACCCAGGGGCAGTTACCCCGCCTCTTCGGGCTTTAATCAGGCCCGTCCGGGTCCCCACACTGAATGCCAGGGATGGGAAGTAAAGAAAGTGGTGGCGAACCCTCACAAGTCAGCGCAGGCCCATCCTCGGACTGTATGGAGGTCCGATTGAGCTCCTCTTCGCGCCGAAGTGGAAGGAGTGCGCGGGCGGGAAGGGCCACGCGGGGCCGGCGCCCCAGGGTGTCCGAGGCCTTGCCACGAAGAGAGGACTTGTCTCTGGAACGCGGCGACAGCGCCGAAAGGACCATCCTCGTGCTGGAGGTGCCGCTGCGACCCGCCCCTAAGGGACAGATGGCCCGAGTTTCCTTCTTCCTCCCCACCCCTGGGCGCTGATGCCGGTCTGACCCAGGCAAGGTCCTCAAGGGGTCTGAAGATGCTGCCGCCGCCCTCTTGTAAAACCTGGCAGAGAGCCATCCCTGACGCTTGCCGCCCACTCCAACCTTGGCAGCCACCGTGCAGTAACAAGGAGTAATGCCATTAGGGTGGTCTCTGGAGCCCCCCTGGAAGGAGATTTTAGAGAAGGTGGTGGGGAGGAGTGCTTAGTCTGATGCAGTCTTAGCCAGCCTCCCCCTCCTCTCACCCTTTACTGTGTTAGCCTTGGGTTTCTGAAATGTTGGGTGGGGGACAGCTGGTAGTTTCCACCTCTTAGTTTCATAAACAGCTTGTTGTTAAGTGCCTTCAATCCCGTTCGCCTCATAGCGACCCTGATAGGATTTCCAAGGAGCAGCTAGTGAGTTTGAACAGTGAGTTTGTTGCTGTTAGGTACCATCGAGTCAGTACCGACTCATAGCACAGGAGAACGAAACACTACCCGATCCTGGACCAACCTCACTATTGTTGCCACGCTTGAGCCCATTGATGCTGCCACTTTGCCAATCCATCTCACTGGGGGTCTTCCTGTTTTTCTCTGACCCTCCACCCTTGAACAGCTTCTTGTTGTTAAGTGCCTTCAAGTAGATTCCGACCCATAGCGACCTTGTATAGGGTTTCCAAGGAGCAGCAGGTGAGTTTGAACTGCCAGCCTTGCAGTTCAAACAGCTCTGCAGTCTGGCGCATTAACCCACAGCGCCACATCAGGGGGGTGATATTGGGAAGAGCTTCAGACACTGGGCAGTTGGTGTTCCCACCCGTGATGCCGCCCCCTGTTGGTACCTATGTTTGCTGCAGGTCAGTATTCCACTTTTCTTTCCTCAGGGATTGTCAGCCCTCTGGGGGGTGGGGATAAACAACCCAGTCCTACAGATGTTGTTATGTGCTGTGGAGTCAGTTTAGACTCATAGCGACCCTGCATACGGTTTCTGAGGAGTGGCTGGTGAGCTTGAACCGCTGACATTTGGTTCAAACTGATCTTGCAGTCCAGTGCATTAACTCACAGCGCCACACCAGGACTCCTACCGATGATACGAGTACATTTTGGTCCCCCTAGAGAGACACCAGACCCAAGTAGCATCCCCAGTGAGTCCCCTCCACTGATTGTGTACTAGGAGTGCCTTGCTACCCAACAGCCTTTCCTGTGGGCTGTGTGTCTGCTCCTTGTAGTTGTTGTTAAGTGCCCTCGAGTCGGTGCCAACCCATAGCGACCCTGAACCTTGTAGTTACTGTGTGTGAATTCAGCTGTAGGCCACTCACCTTGTCTGCGAAAAGACCCCATTTAGTTCCTAAGGCTCCCTTGCAGAGTGAGTGTGTGTATCTGTGCAGTGTTTGTGCTCTGGTTTCCTTAGCGTGATTTTCCCCATATATTCTACACATTTATCTATTACCAACTAACAACACCAGTGCCTGGGGTTCAAAGTGGATCCCCTAGGGTCTTAGTTCTGCCCCGTATGGCTTAACAACATACTCAGCTCTTAGAGAGGCAGCCTGAGACTTTGGAGCCTCCCCAAATCCAGATTGGTGCACATACTTACTTGGGTCCTGTGCTCTGTGGACCATCAGATCTTAGTCATAGTTGAATATCTTGAAATTATATGCACAAGTGGGTATTTATGCATTTTTCTGGGCTATAGATTTCTTTATATGCTCAAAAGAGCCTGAGACCTTTGTCTTAGAGAGATGCTGAATGATTGTTGTTGTTGTAAGTGCTGTTGGAGTAGGTTCTGACTCATAGCAACCCTGTATGGGATTTCCAAGAAGCAACTGGTAGGTTTGAACTGCTGGCTTTGTGGTTTGCAGTCCAGTGGGATCGTATAGGGCCACACCAGGAGTCAGTTTCGATTTCTCTCCACCCTGTTGACTTCTCACCCTGCAGTGGGAACTGTGCGAAGGCCAGACTTGCGCCCCTCTTATTCCGTCACATATATTCTTTTTCTTTACTTAAAGAAGCTCTGGTAGCGTAGTGGTTACGAATTGGGCTGCGAACCACAAGGTCAGCAGTTCAAAACTACCAGCTGTTCCACAGGAGAAAGATGAGGCTTTCTGCTCCCGTAAAGAGTTATAGCCTCGGAAACCCAATACAGGGCTGCTATGAGTTGGAACCGACTTCATGGCACATAACCATCACCACCACCACCACCACCAAAGGGTCTAAGCTAAAGTGCCCTGATGGAAATATGTGGTTTGGGCCAATCTTTTTGCCCCCTTCCCTTCCAAAAACTATGGAGACAGGCTCTCTGATCTGAGATTTCTGGGGTTCAATAAAAGTGTTTTCCCCCTCCCCAGTTTCAGACGGTTTGTCCCTTTTCTGTCCTTTGCTCTTTCCAAAGCTGGGTCTTGGGTCTATTTTTGAGGTGCCGAGTTGCGAGTCTCAGACTTCTCCTTTCTGGGGAGGCCTAGAGGCTTCCTGTCTCCTGGACCTTGTGGTCAGTGGCTGGCCCCCTCCTCCTCTCCTCGGCTGTTCTGGACTGCACTCTGGTTTGAAGGTGGGAGTGTGCCCATCCGATTTCAGGACCAGTTTTTCTGGTCTGAGTCTAGAAGGTTGAGAAATGGAAGTGGAGTGGGTGGAGGACTGTAGGACAGTAGCCTGCTTGAGTGAGGTGTCTCTTTTGAAAAGCCGAAAGTCATTCCAGGAGAAAATCAGAAAAGGGAACAGCTCTTCTGAGCCCCTTCCCAGATCCCTCACTTTGGCCTAAACACTGGGTTAAATATGCCCATTGTGTTGAGCTGGAGACTAGCTTTGAGGCTGAGAGAGCTGCCAAGTCAAGATTAGAACTCAAAGCCCCAGCCTGGCCAGCTGAGCAGGGCGAGGTACAAAATGACCATTAAACATGGACCTTCTCTGCACTGAGAATAGAGACACCCCCCCCCCCAACTCCTTCCCGTGTGTAACCAGCCAGCTCCTTAGCTCCACCCCCTTTATTTGTACTTGACCGCCCCCTCCTCACAACAAATCCCACAGTTCCAATTCTCAGCCTATCTGATCTAACTGAGCATTTGGTATGAATGACTTGGTCCCTTCCCATCTCCCCTCTCCCTTTTGTTCCCCTCAATTTGCTCCTCAGGTTGTTTTATGGGAGGATAGGTGTGTTAGGACTAGGTGGGGTGGGAAGGTGAAGAAATTGTCATCAAAGACCCTTCTCTGATGTAAAGGGAAGACTTGGACTTGGTTGTTGGAATAAGGATCTTTTCTCCCTAGGGACCAGGAATAAGGTTTTGGGTTCAAGTCTCTCTTAGTTTCTAGTCCTCATCCTAGAAATAGGGTTATGAATCTCCATGTGCTACACAGGGCTGAGTCAGAACTGACTCCACAGCACATAACAGAGGAAAGCTCTAGAATGTAAAGCCATTTGAACTGGAAGGTCAGCAGTTCAATCTCACCAGCTGCTCCTTGGAAACCCTATACAGGGTGGCTATGGGTCAGAACCGACTTAAAGACACTTTGCAACAACAAGAAGAGTAGTGGATTATGCATTGGACTATTAACCACAAGGTCAGCGTTTGAAATCCACCAGTCACTCCACAGGAGAAAGATGAGGTTTCCTGCTCCCATAAAGATTTATAGCCTCAGAAACCCTATACAGGGTCACCATGAGTCAGAACCAACTTGATGGCATGCAACAGTATATACGTTTATGTACAGATATACAGACCAGTTTCTATATACATTATCATCAAAGATGGGTTCTAACTTCTTCCCCAGCTCGGGCTCAGAAGTGACAAGTACAAGTCATTCAACAAAGCCTGGCCTTTGCTTAGTGGGTTTTGCTTTAAATTAGCAGCTGGATGACTCAGCAGGTGGGTGGGATGTGTTGGAGGTCACAGTGTCCCCGCCCTGTGTCCGCTTAGTATTCCAGGGTAGGAGCCAGTGTCCCGAGAGAAATGAGCTTTGGGATAATTCTTTCTCTTTTCTCCTCCCCACCTCACTAGGGCCTGGGGGCTTGCTCCTGCCTGAGGCTAAGTAAACTGGCTGGCCTGGCCTTTTGCCTAGTGGATAGTGGAGTCTGTGTGTCTGTGTGTGTATGTGCCTGTCTGGGTGTGGAGGGGAGACAGAATCTCTAGGAGGAGTAAGGCCAGCATTGTGAAATTCCGGCTGCTCTCCCCACAGGTCTGAGCACTGAAGGGTATGTGTCAGTGTCTTTACACCAGTGATATTCCTGGTCTCAGTCCAGCTGCCTTCTGCTTCAGGATGAATGTGATCATGAGTGAGGTAGTTGGCCTAGAAGGGAGTAAGAGGCAGGGTTGAGGCCTAGAGTTCCTGGGAAAATGCCACCTTTGTTTTTCTCTAGCATCTCCACCCATCATCTCCGGATCCTTCTGTGCCATTTTAGATCTCCGTTCTGTCCTTCCTACGGGGCTGCCCTTTGCCTCCCTCTTGAGAAGACGGAGATCTGGTTTTATCATCGGGGATGGTGGGGGGCACCTGGGAGCAAGTCTGCCCTGCCCCCTGTGATGAGCTGTTCTCACCCGAGCAGGCAGAACAGGTCCCTCTGCAGCCATGTCAGCCAAGGCGATTTCCGAGCAGACGGGCAAAGAGCTCCTTTACAAGTACATCTGTACCACCTCGGCCATCCAGAACCGGTTCAAATATGCTCGGATCACCCCTGACACAGACTGGGCTCGCCTGCTGCAGGACCACCCTTGGCTGCTCAGCCAGGTGAGCCCCACCTCTTCCAGGTCTTGGTTGGAGGCTGAGACAGCACTGGGTTTGTTGGAGGTATCTGCAGGGGTCACTTGATCATGGACCACCTGCATTAGTGGGCAGCATGCAGTGGACTGAGCACATCCTAGCATGGTGTACAGAGCACAGGCTTGGAAAAGGACAAACTGGAGTCCACCTCCCAGCTTTCTGTTTATTAACCAGATGACCTGATGTGCGCCCACTCCCCACATCAAATGGGTATAAACTCCCCCTGTGAGCTGTAAAGGTTAGAGGCTTCATTTGATGGGTGATAATGAGAAGTAGAATGGTCCCCTGCTCAGCATCTCAGGGACGTGTTCACTCTATGAAGAATGGCTGGCGTCTGTGGTCTGCCTAGAGTAAACGTTCCTGCATCAGATCCCTGCAGGACTAGAACCAGTGGTGGCGGTTTCTGTTCCCTGCAGATTCCCGTTCACGCACAAGTGGAACTACTGCAGGGGGTTAGTAGAGTCCACGGCACCAGAGGTTAATGAACCCAGACTGCTTCTGGGGGCAGAGTTCAAACAGAGAGTGATTGACCAGATGACCTCTAAAGTCCTTTGTAGCCCCCAGGCTCTGTCTTTCTGGTCAACCTTTTTGAAACATAGGTACAGGCCCATATTCTGGGGAGTTTATAGGTTAATGAAGAAGTACCACACAGGCAGGGCTAGGGAGTCACTTACTTATTCAGTAGGTATTTGTTGAGTATCTACTCTACCAGGTCCCATCATGGACATGGATGGCTCTAGATTGCTAGGAGTGGATCAAAGATGTGGCCTTGGATAGATGAGGGATGTTCAGGGAGCCAACGCTGAAGGATGATAGGATTAGCTTTGGGAGGAGGGTGGGTTGGAAACCCTTTGGGTACCCAAACTACTCTCTCTTACTCTGCTCTCTCCTTCCCTACTGTAAATACAAACCCTTCCTCCTCCTCTTCCAGAGCCTGGTGGTCAAGCCAGACCAGCTGATCAAACGGCGTGGAAAGCTGGGCCTAGTCGGGGTCAACCTGAGCTTGGATGGAGTCAAGTCCTGGCTGAAGCCACGATTGGGACAAGAGACCATGGTGAGTCTGGGTAGAGGGTTGGGACTGACATATCATGGTAACAGAAGCAAACATGATCATAGCACATTGCAGATCGGGAACTCTGTGTATTATTCTCACATCTACCCAGGTGCCCTTGGACAATAGGGCCAATCTTGGTGTTTATTCCCGGCTGCCCTGAGAGGAAGTCCAAGTTTCTTTTGTTATCAATTTGAGCAAGATGTGCTGTAAAAGGAACCCCAATAAGGTTGGGAGCTAAGTTGAAATGATCTGCTTCTTTACTGATGATGAAGATTCAACTCTGAGCCCTTTCTGGTCAATCGGGAACTCCTTTATTTCCAGATTTCCAAAAATGATCGTGATGGCATATGATGACATGCATACATAAGAGGGTGGATATTTAAGCATGATTTAGGCAGAGAGACATTGTTGAGCCCAGGACCTAGGATGTTGACCCTTCGTAATAATGATGAGTAAATTCAGCTCTTGTCTTCTCCCAGCTCGGTGATTAATTCCAGTTATGTTAATGACAGATGGAAAGTGAAATACAGTTTACGAAGGCTAAGAGCTGCTTAGAAATGAAATTGTGTTTTTTCTTCTCCTCACCGGACTGGGAGCTCTAGAACCTAGGGGCAGGGTAAGAGGGCTGGGGTTTGGCTCAGCTCAGGGAGCATGTGCCGTTCTTACCTGGTGTGGCACACGTTTCTGGCAGGATTAGTGTTGCGCTCACTCTTGGCTGCCTTGGAAGTAGGAAGAAGGTAGTGATGGGGATATCTTCCTCTCTTATTAGGTTTCCCCAAAGCAGCCCTGTCTTAGTTTCTTAGGGCTCCTGTAACTCAGGTACCACAAGTGGCTGGCAGTAAAGAACAGATAATGATTTTCTCACAGTTCTGGAGGCTCAACTGTGTCAACGCCTTCCTTGTCAATAGCCCCTTGTGGTCCTTGGTTTCTTGGTGGTACTCACATGACATCTATCACCCCCAGGTTATGCCTGCTTGCTCTACATCTGTGCTGCTCTTTATTAATTTTTTTAATTGTGAACTGAGTGATAGCTTACGTGGGAGAACATCGGCTTTACACTGTTTCATTGCAATGACTACAATCTCCTCCGTGCAGCATCATTCAACAGTATTTGCTTCCATTCCCTGGTTTCTTTTTTTTTTTTTTTGCGGGGGTGGGGGTGGGGGGGTAAAGTAGGGTGGGAAGATGTACACAAACACACTCAGTAATATATAATAATTTAAATCAAAGGGCACATTCTGCAGGTCTGCCTCTTGGCCGCCATGTGCTGCTCTTTAGAGAACTCAGCAGTGATTAGGTTTAGGATCCACCCTAACCTCAACAGATTGATTCTATCACGTTAGTTACATTATAGACGGTGATTATATTAAGACAGATTAGGTTGTACCCAAAGGTATGTTGTTGTTGTTAATTGCCATCTAGTTGATTCTGACTTATGATCCCATGTGTGCAAAGAAGAACCGTTCTGTAAGGTTTTCTAGGTTGTGATCTTTCGGAAGTAGATTGCCAGACCTGTCTTCTGAGGTGTTTCTCTATGGATTTGACTTGCCTTGTAATAGAGTGCTTCATCATTTGTACCACCCCGGGTCTCCTACCCATATAGGGTTAGGTTTATAGCATACATTTTCAGTTGGGGAAACAGTTCAATCCCTAACAAGTCCCTAATGTTAATGTCTTTGTTGCTGAACCCTTGTGGGTGTGAAGGATCCTTGAAGATACACATGGGTGTGAAGGATCCCAGCCTTCAAGCTTCCAGACCTTTGGGGAGTGGACAGCTGGAATGTGAGGTTGGCTAGTGTCCTCAGGGAGGCCCTTCTCCCTCGCCCACAGTGGGTCATTAGGAGAGGGGTGTTGAGGACATCTGAACCAGCAGCAGAGCCAGACTGTAGGAACAGCTCATTACCTCTGATGGATCACTGTCTGCTCCTGACTCAGCAGTGAAGCACAGGCCAAGTGGGGGGTGGGGGGGCCGGGAGGGCTGGGATGAAGGCTGTCTCGCCTTAGCTGCCGCCAGGGACCCACTCAAACTGATTAGCTCGGCAGGCCTGTCATCCTCAGCCAGGAAAGCCTGAGTGGAAAAGTTGTCCCCATCTGCCTCTGGCTCTGCCTCTCCTCGCCTCTTCCCCTCTGTGGGTAAGCGTGCCCGTCACAAGGCAGACAAAGCCGAAGGGTTCCCTTCCCCCCACCCCGGAGTCCTCCAGTCTCTCTGTCTGAGCTCTGATTTGTGCACTGGCAGGGAGAGGGATTGACACCTGACCTATGTGCTTTTGAGGTGGGAACCACCTTATAAGTTCATCTATCACCCCCCAGAGGAGGCAGAAAAGCATGTGCAGTATGGCTGGATGGGAGAGAGCACCCAGGAGGACTTCATGAGCTTAGGGTCTGTGACCCCATGGCCCTACTTTTTGATGCGTGTTGTGATGATAGTGTTTGGGCCCCAGCTCTGATGAGAGGGCAAGTGGAGGACATGGGATCCCTCCTGCTCCTGGCAGTAAGATGTGCTGTCTTGGCCTCATTTCCCTTCTCTCTCCATAGGTCGGCAAGGCCAAAGGTTACCTCAAGAACTTTCTGATTGAGCCCTTCGTCCCCCATAGTCAGGTATGTGTTAAATGGCACCAAACCTGGCCATCTCCCACCTGGAGCTTTGTGTCTATTGAACTAAAGTGGTGGAAGGAAAAATCCAGTTAAAACAGCCCCAGTCTCTGAAGCTACACTGAGGATTTGAGGGTACTACAGAGCAGGAACTCCAGAAATGAAGGATTGGGCTTAGTTTGCAGCTAGAAAGAATTAGGGCTGGTAGAAGAGGAGACTTCCCAGTGAAGTAAGAAAGAGTTGAAGTCAGGACCTGTCTCCCAGGTCAGGCCATAGTCTCAACCGTCAGTTTCTGAGGTAGTGCCCTCTCTTCTCCTTGTCCCCAGGGGGAAGGTATTGAACAGGTTAACCCTGTGTGAATGTTTTTTACTGGGTCTTAGAGATGAGGCCATAGGGGGTGAGCTCTTCTCCCTCAGTTCAGTGCCCCTTACCCACATCACGGTCTCTCCATCTGCAAGGCGGAGGAATTCTACGTCTGCATCTATGCCACCCGAGATGGGGATTATGTCCTGTTCCACCATGAGGGAGGTGTGGATGTGGGTGACGTGGACGCCAAAGCCCAGAAATTGCTGGTCGGCGTGGACGAGAAGCTGACTCCTGAGGACATTAAGAAGCACCTGTTGGTGCACGCCCCCGAGAACAAGAAAGAGTTGAGTGAGGGGGACAGCAGGGGATGGCACCGGGGGTCGGGAAGATGGGTATGGACCCAGTGGGCTTCCATGTCTGGTTATCTGGGTAGGAGAGACAGCATGTGGCAGGCACAATGCCATCCTCTCCCTGGAGCAGAGAGGAGGCAGGCTCAGAATCCGATCAGACAAACATGCCATCAGCCTCCCTCACCTCCTGCCCTCGTCTGTCTGGCTTCTCCTTTGCATCTCTGCCTGACAGCTTCGTTCTGCCTCAGTGGCTGATGAATGATGTCTCGATGTCTTGGGGAGAAGTGAGGGCCAGTGTCAGGAAGTGGCTCTGAGGCATCGCTGCAAGGGAGGGGGTGCTGTCTTGCTGAGGGATTGACTGTGCTCCCTCCCTCCCTCCCACTTCTAGAATTCTGGCCAGCTTTATCTCCGGCCTCTTCAACTTCTACGAGGACCTGTACTTCACCTACCTCGAGATCAACCCCCTTGGTAACTGGCTCTTTTGGAGTGTGTTGTGGGGAGCAGATAAGGGTCAGTTATAACCAGTAGCTATAGTACCCCTGAGCTCTGATGTGGTGCTGTAGGATAAGCACAAAGTTGGTAACTCAGAACCAACTCAAAGGCACACAGAAACAGCATAGTACCCCTGGCCTTGACCTTCTGAGAACTGACCGCATGGGCTTGACGTTGGCTAGACAGATGTATGTATGTGGAAGAATCTGCTCATATATTGCAGGCTTCCATTTCTGAACCCTCCGAGGCAGCAACCATTCGTTTTTAACCTACTCCTCCTTTCTGGTAGCATAGTGATTACGAATCGGGCTGCTAACCTCAAGGTCAGCAGTTCGAAACTACCAGTCTTTCTGTGGGAGAAAGATGTGGGTTCCTGCTCCTGTCAAGATTTACAGCCCCAGAAACCCTATGCAGGGTCACTATGAGTCAGCACCACCACCTCCTTCCTTTGGTCTTGAATTGCCCTGTGTGCGCCCATGCTGGTCCTGCCAGGTGTGCCCCCTCAGACCCTTCTTTCCCCTCAGTTCCCTGGGAGCCCTTCACCCTCCCCTCTCCAGGCACGTTGTGAATGCCTGAGGGACAGAGCTGTCCTCGATGGGAGGAGCTTGGCCTCTGCAGGCTGTAGGCCCTGCTGTGTGGGGGGAGCAGTGCAGGCTGACACAGCCAGGGTTTCTCAGGGCACAGTCCAGGGAGCCGAGAAATCAACTCTGTATCTAGCTGATGAAGCAGCCCCCTAATGGACCAGATGGCTTTGTGCTAACTTCATTAGCTAAAGGGCCCCGGGGGCAGGAAGATAGATGTCCAGTGAGTCGGTAGCACGTGAGCCCTGCTGGCTGGCACCCTCACCACCTGACAAGGACTCACCGATGTACACACCTAGAGGGACTCCTGACAATGCCCTGAAGCTAACGCCATGAATGGGTGGGTGGTTAGAAATTTAAAGTGAGGGAGTATGCGGTTTTATAAAGATGTTTAAACATTGCCATGGCAGCCAATACCGACTCCCCAGGCACATCAGGGAGAGGAGCCAGAATGCAGAATTGATCTTTTCCTTTAATGGTATACCAGCTAGTCTCCACATACACCATTCTAGCATTTTGTAGAGCTTGGGGAATCAGGACTACATGGGACCCCCTGGGAGCAGCATCTGGGGTACGTCTAGTAAGGTGGACTGACAGTCACTCTTGTCTTTCCTAGTTGTGACCAAAGACGGTGTCTACATTCTTGACTTGGCTGCCAAGGTGGACGCCACAGCCGACTACATCTGCAAAGTGAAGTGGGGTGACATCGAGTTCCCTCCCCCCTTTGGACGGGAGGCTTATCCGGAGGTAGGGCTTACCCAAGGGCCGGTGACTAATCTCAGATGAGCATTTGACCCCCCTGTGGGCTGTATGTTTGGCAGAGAAAGGAAGGACAAGAGCCATTTAATTTTCTTAAAACCCCAGTGGGCTGGGAGTGGGATCCTGGCCAGAAACCCTTTTAGACACACTCCTCAATCAACCTCCCTGGGCTCTGGACTTGATTTGTTGCTTCTCGATAATTCCTCGTGCTCCCCGAGTCCTGTCAGGAAGGTAGTTCTCTCTGGCCACTCGCTGAGAATTGTAATTGCTCCTTCCCACCCGTCCTCCTCTGAGAAGTCCTCACAGCAGGACGTGGGCTTCTGTGGAGCAACCCAGGCCAAGAGGGAGGCTGTGTAAAGGGGGACATGTGATGAGGGGCCCCTCCTGAGCCGAGAGGGACAGGGTGGAAATGGAGTGGCATAGTGAGGCACAGGACTCGGGCAGAGGGAAGGAGAGAAGGGAGTCTGGAAGCTTGCCCCCAGGCAGTGAAGGCACTATCGGCTTTTGTCCCCAGCATGTCGGTCCCTGCACAGTCCTCTCCTTCCTCAAGTTGGGGATTGAGTGAGCTCTTCACAGTCCTCCAAGGACAGGGGGAGATGGGGGTGGTCCTGGGATTTGTAAAGGGGACCATCCAAAGGCCCACCTGTTGTTTGCTCCTAGGAAGCCTACATTGCAGATCTGGATGCCAAAAGTGGGGCGAGCCTGAAGCTGACCTTGCTGAACCCCAAGGGGAGGATCTGGACCATGGTGGCTGGGGGTGGTGCCTCTGTCGTGTACAGGTGACTAGATGGGGCCTGGGCCAAGTGGCTTCAGCTCTAGGGCCCAGTTTCTCCTCTTGGAGAGGTGCAGGAAGTAGTGTGGTAGACAAGCGCTATGATCTCAGCTAGGGACTGCCCCACACACTGGCTTCTGCAGCCTCGGTTTCCTTTAGTTCCTGTCATGACTGATCTGTGCTCAAAGCAAAGGCACAATTAATGTGGAACAGGGATTAGAAAGTGAACGTTCTCTGGCCCTTTCCCCATTCCTTCTCCTGACCATGTATGTCCTGTGGACATTCTCATGGCTGTAATGATGCATTTCACATTATAGAAACAATGGGGTCAGTTTGTGTACACTCTATTCAGGTTGGCTTTATTATTATTTTTACCTTAAAGCAGCAGAGGGTAGCTCATTGCTAGACATGTAACCCAGACCCGCTGCCATTGCATTGATTCTGCCTCCTGGTGACACTGCAGAAGGTTTCCAAGACAGTGGCTAGTGGCTGTGAACTGCCGACCTTGTGATTAGCAGTCCAGTGCTTATCCCACAGGATCACCCATTCCTTCCCTGGTGGGAGGCTGTGTCCTTTGGCTGCACCACAGTTTGTCTTCTTTGTTGGGTGGCCTGTCGGGGACTTGTGGGCTGTGCTGTTTTTCACACCTTTGTGTTGGGGAGGTGTTCACTGTACTGTTGTGCCTGCCATTATCTGGTTCAGAGCCGTCTAGTGGCTTGACTGCTAACCAAAAGGTTGATGCTTTGAACCCACTCAGATGTGAGTCAGAAGAAAGTCCTGGTGCTCTGCTTCCAAAAGGTCACACTCTTGAGACCCCTACAGCGCACCATTCAATCCTGCTATGAGTCAGAATTGACTTTGACAGCAACTGTTTTCATTGTTTGAGTTTTTTTCCTTCTCTGGTTTGGAGCTCCGTGGTTGGCATGAGGTTAGCAGAGGGGTCTGGCATGGGTTAAGGGTCAGAGCTCTGCAAGGCCAGTTCCACAGTCTGACTTCAGGGCTTTGGAGGCCTGCATGTGCTCCCAGCACTGACTTGGGTGTCTTCCTGGCAGTGACACCATCTGCGATCTGGGGGGTGTCAACGAGCTGGCAAACTACGGGGAGTACTCGGGTGCCCCCAGCGAGCAGCAGACCTATGACTATGCCAAGACGATCCTATCCCTCATGACCCGTGAGAAGCACCCAGACGGTGAGAACACACATGCCTACCCTCCCAGCATGGTGCCTTGGGAACAGCCTGGTATGAGGAGTCACTGAGCTTGTGGTCCTGGTCCTTTGCAGCCTTGGGCTATTACTAACTGCTGGACTTTAGCTTCCTTGACTGTCCAGTGGGCCATGACAGCCCCTCTGAGGATGGGGATGGGTGGGGTCGTAGGGACTCAGAAAGGCGAGGCTGAGGTGTGTTCTTGAAGCTCCGGGTGAAGTGTGCGCTTTTCCTCTGCTCGCTGCTGACGTCACTGGTAATGTGCAGTTTCCAGCCTCCCCTGTCCGGTACTGGTTTGGGGACCATACCCCAACTCGTATCCCTGAGGCGGAGTTCTGGGTGTGATAGAAGATTCTCTGGGTTTGTACTCACTGCTCTGTGGCATAGGTAATGGACACTAAGTGAATCAGGCTAAATGGGCCTCAGGAGAGACCACCCAGCTTACCCCTGCCTCTGTCCTGAAAGCTCTGAAGAGCTGGGGGATGCTCACTGAGGGGACAGAGGAGGAACTTTCTCATTCCTATATCTAATACCTGCGTCTCTATTATTCCAAACTCAGGTAAGATCCTCATCATCGGAGGCAGCATCGCAAACTTCACCAATGTGGCTGCCACATTCAAGGTAATCAGCCGCAACCGACAATGCCGTTTCCAGGGTTGGGGGGAGGAGAATCTTATCACTGAGGTTAGAGACAGAGCAAGTCCCAGGGGTTCTCCGTCCTGGCAGGGAGTACAGGAGACGTTGGTACAGGAGGTCTGGTGTGTCTAGGGTAGAAGCTGGTGTTCACTGGACCATAATTCTTCCATCGAAAGTGAATTTCTGCCTGCCCCCCCTTTCGGGACCAGTGCTTGAAGAATTGGCTCAGTTGATCCTCTCTTCAACACCTTGTCCGTGGTTCTCTACACTTCCCAGTCTTTGTTCTCTCTCAGCCATCAGTGCCTTCTCCAACAGCTGGGATGAGAGCGTTTTGTTGCTCTGGGGCTCCTGTTCATCCTGTCATCAGCCTGGATCACAGGTGTGGGCACCGGATTAATAGAAAACATCCATCCACAAGGGCGTCTCAAGAGCCATCCCCTTCAGGGTAGCCTCTTCAGGAGGCTATTTATGATTCCATTATGCTTGATCCCCAGTGAGACTATTTAAGAGTGTGCCAGTGTCTGGTAGTTCCATATACATGTTAAGGATCATAGTAAGTGTCAGACTTGATGCTCTGCTCTCTCCAGAAGAGGGGACCAGGCCTTATCCATCCTGTCTAAAACAGGGTCTTCATGACTATATCTGATTCAACAGACAAATTGGAACTAGGTGAATCGCTATGATTTTGTTTTAACTTATAAAACTTCAAAGTAGGACAGGTAGGTCTGGAGCAGGAAGTGTGTGCAGAACCTCAGGAGATATGCCTTGGGTGACAAATCTCAGCCTCCTGCCGGGAGGGACAGAACTGATGCACGCCTTTCCACGCCCTCATTTCTCCAAATGTGGCATCCATTGCAAAGACTGTTTCCCGAAATCACTTGACATTGACATTTAAGAAGACTGTCCTGCTATCTCTGAGAACCCTTGCATAGCACCCTAGCATGGTCTTCTCCCTCTCCCCAAATGGAAGTACAATAACAACAGGGACTGCAGCCATGACAAGACGTTAAGAAAGGCACACGCTGACCCGGCCACACAGAGGCATCATCTGCCTTCCCACCACAGCGCCATTACAAGTAATCAGCATGGCCCAGGTCTTTGAGTTGTCTGCGCACATATAAAACTCTTCATTGCCTGAGCCTGCCATACCTCATGAGCAACCTCACTTGTTTTATCATCCTGGTATATTTATTGATCATGCTCATTAAGTCTCTGGTTCATGGCTGCCTTGCGTTTGTTCACGGGTCTCTCCTTTCTTTCCGCTTCCAGGGCATCGTGAGAGCAATCCGGGATTACCAGGGCCCTCTTAAGGATCATGAGGTCACTATTTTTGTCCGAAGAGGTGGTCCCAACTACCAGGAGGGCTTACGGGTGATGGGAGAAGTTGGTAAGCTGGGGCACCTGTTCTCTCCTACCCAGAGTGTCACATGGCCTGCCCACATGAGATTCCTGAAAGGGATCTATCTTTGGGCTCTTTTGTGCCCACTCTCCTTTCTGAATATGCAGCTTTGGACCAATACCCTCTGACTTTAGTGCTTCATTCTCTGTCCTGTGACACAGTACCTGTCTTCTAAATGTCAGGATGTGCAGTCCTGGTGCTAAGAGCAGTAATGTGTGAAGCCGGGATTTATGTAGTGTGTCAGAAAGATCCAGAAATAAGATGCTCTTGCTCAGCGAGCAGGCTGTCTAATTGAAAAGACAAAACCTCTCCATCCTCCTGTTTTTCCAGTTTGGTACCCGTAGCAAACACAGAATTCCCCTAAATCACCTGGAGTAGCTCAAGTTGGAGTTTTCATCCATTCACCTAAAACTGAGTACCTGTTGAGGACCAGGCCCTGGAGACAGTAAGGCAGATGTTGCTTTACTGGGACTAACATGAGCCAGATGCTGTCAAGTGGCCATGTATATTGTGCATAGGATGGGGTGATGTGAAGGGGGTCAGGGCAGGCCTTTCTCAGGAGGTGGCCCTGGAGTTGAGTGCTCCAGGCAGGCAGAGCAAGGCCAGGGCCCAGAGGCAGTGTGAGTCCAGGGCTTAGGAACAGAGAGGCCAGTGTGGCTGGAGCCTCAGGGCTTTATGGTGGGAGAGCCAAGTCCAGGCCATGCACAGAGGAATGTGGACTCTGAGAATGCTCTTGGTCGCCTGAGTCTTGCCAGTAAAGCTGCTAGTTGCTCTGTTTATCAGCTGGTGGTCTTTACAGAGATTGATTTGGTGGTGAAAATATGACAGCTAATCTGCCTGGTGACTGGTCTTGCACAGAAAGCATGGCCATAGAGGGACCTTTACAGAGCCACGTAGACTAGGGCACTGATCTGAGGACTGGAATGATGGATTCTCTTCCTTCTCCCACAGGGAAGACCACTGGGATCCCCATTCATGTTTTTGGTACTGAGACTCACATGACAGCCATTGTGGGCATGGCCCTGGGCCACCGGCCCATCCCCAATCAGCCACCCACAGCGGCCCACACGGCAAACTTCCTCCTCAATGCCAGCGGAAGCACGTCGGTAGGCATCAGCCTTCCTCTTTTCTTAAAGGGTCCATTTATGATCTGGTACTGACATCCTTCTAGAACATTCCATTTGGGGGTAATGGGACATTATGAGAAGGAAGTAAGTGCATACTTGGTTTCTGGATCTCTGAGCCAAGTTTCTCCCTCCCAAGTCAGGGTAGTGTAATGGAATTCAGTTCAAATCCTGGCTCTGTTACTTCTTGCTGTGGGAGGGACCTTGGCCGGTATCTTAACTGCTCAGCTTGCTCAACTGTAATGTGGGGACAATGCTAGGTCCACCTCAGAGGGCTGTTAGGAGTAACAGCTTGTGAAGAACAGTGCTGTTCGTAATTTTGACTACCTGGTAATCATTCTTTGAAGCCTTAAGGAGTAATGTTTTTTTCCCATTGTTAGTCCTGTTGTAGTGCTATAGGGTCAGCACTGGATTGCTAACCACAAGGTTGATGGTTCAAACCCACCAGCTGTTCCTTGGTTACCCTATACAGACAGAGTCACTACGAGTCAGACCTGATTGAAAGGCATTTACCAACAACAGTGCCACATGTGATTTGAGTTCCGAGCCTCTGTGGGATAAGCACTGAACTGCTAACCACATAAGGTCTGCAATTCAAGCCCACCAGGTGCTTCAAGGATGAGATTTTCTTGTTCCCTCAAAGATTTTCAGCTTTGGAAACTTTATACAAGGTCGTTATGAGTTGGCCCTGACTCCACAGCATTTAGCAACACCACCTGTGATTTACCCTCTCTCTCAATCTCCTTGTCCCATCTCAGACCCCGGCCCCCAGCAGGACGGCATCTTTTTCTGAGTCCAGGGCTGATGAGGTGGCCCCTGCAAAGAAGGCCAAGCCTGCCATGCCACAAGGTAACTCCCACAGTCTCAGGTAAACTGCAGGGACAGGTCCTCCTGGCAGGCAGCGTGATGGAAAGCTGTTTGGGCTTCACTGTGGGATGGGAAGAGAATGTGACAATGAGCTGACCTGATTCTGTCCCATGGGTTTCCTTGTTCTGAGGACCTGTGCCCCATGGGTTTCCTTGTTCTGAGTTGCCACTGCCGACTTCTGGGTCACCTCAGTCTCACCCTCTTATCTTCTACCCCCTTTCTTCCTGGGTGGGAGGAGGAAGGGGTGAGCTGGGCAGGGAAGCTGTGGGGAGATGCGGCAATTAAAAAGTCTCCCAGACCTCCTACGTGGATGGCAGGAGCCCAGAGCTCAGAACAGCAGAGCAAGTTCCTAGGGCGCCCCATAATTTTAGGACTCTTAGTAAAACCTGCCTACCCCTGTGATCCCAATTTAAAAAAACTGGGTCATCTACCAGCCCATCTGGACTTTACCTAAATCATTTCTCCACCTGATCTATCAAAGGTACGATCCCTGCCAATGAGCTCATGCCACCAGCATTGGATAACCAGCTATCTGATGCTAGTTAGTTAGCTGCTATTGCCTGTCTGGCCAGTCTCGTCCCTCTGAGAAGTTTGTTTAAGGCGTTCACTGTTATACACTAGCTCCGGGGGCTTGCCATCAGAAGCCACTGCCCTGAGATCCCCAAACCAACAGCTTTATTCACAGATTCGGGTGACAGGTCTGATACTGTCCACACTGGTCTAGCATCAAGCTTCCTGGGGACAAAAATGACTGGCATTAAGAGAGTGGAGCAGGTCCAGCTAGAGCACCCATTTGTCCCTCTAGAGGGCACTCTGGGAGCCTCAGTGTTCTGTCCATCCTCCAAGTCTTCCATCTCCTCCTGGCTCCCCCGGCCTTGTTGCCCCCTTGCCCGTTCGTCCCTCCCTGCACCCTTCCTTGCTTCTGCTCTGCCGATGGATGCTTTCAGCTCTTCTGTTGGCTGTTCTCCTCTGGGCTGTAGTGGAGCAGACAAGTGATGAGAAGGACATCACCCTAAGAGGCGTGTCCACTGACCCATCCCCGTGCCCACCCTCTCCCTCCAAAGTTCCTAGCTGTCAGCCAGTCACTCAGTTGCCTTGGTCATTTTCTTTGACAGATTCAGTCCCAAGTCCAAGATCCCTGCAAGGTAGGATGCCCGACTCCAGCCCGGCTCCGTGTGTGGCTTTGTTTTGAGTTATCATTTCACTTTCACCGTGTGCTGTGTCCCTTCCCCTGGCGGGTTGCAGTGTTGTCTATAAGATTTTTTAACCCTGCCTTGATGTGGCCTGCCCCTAAAGCCTAGTCTTCCTTCCTTCCTTCCCACCCCTTGCTTAGTGTGTACCTCCCCACTCTCCTCACTGGGTGATCCCCTCTGGCTCTGAGCTGGTTTGAGGGTGGAGTTTGGGCGAGGAGTGAGAGCCAGGCCCCAGCTTTGGAGAGTGGAACCCTAAGAAAGGAGTGGCTGAGGACAGTAGGCACTGCTGCAGACTCACTGGCGGGGAGCCTAGGGTCACCCCATCTCATTTATTTCTCATGGTGTCATCAGCTTCTTGCTTTTCCTGCCTTGCCACTGCTGACTTCATCCCAGAGCTCCTAGTAGCAGGAACAAGTTTTTGATGGAGAGCAAGACAGCTAGATAGTGAGTGGGCCAGAAATCTGACGAGTGTGCAGTGTATCTGTAGACTGGGGATGGGAAGGAATCCAGCCTTCAGTGGTATACAAGGCCATTCAGCGGCCTTCAGTGTTGTACACACTTTGGTGTACAGTGCACGCGCGCACACATGCACATACACATGGAGTCCCTTGTTGTTGTTGTGTTCCGTGGAGTGGGTTCCAACTCATAGTGATCCTGTACAGGGTTTCTGAGGCTGTAAATCTTTACAGGAGCAGAAAACCTCATCTGTCTCCCGCAGACCAGCTGTTAGTTTCGAACTGTTGACCTTGGGGTTCGCAGCCCGATTCGTAACCACTACGCTACCAGAGCTCCTTTGGAGTCCTTAGAAGGTGCCAATAGTTGAGTGCTGGACTGCTAGCTGAAAGGTTCAGACCCACCCAGAGAAGCCTCAAAAAGACAGCCATTCCTGTCTGCTTCCGAAAAGAAAACCCTGTGGAATAGTGCTACCGGCATGCCTGGGGTCGCCACAAGTCTGAATGGCTTGTTGGTAACTAACCACACACACAATCAACACACTTTTAGGTGAATCCGCTTCGTTTAACATTTAGTCACAGCTGTGAGAGATTTTGTAAGGGCGTGGAAGTCTTCAGAAGATGATCCTTGACCCCTTGTTAAAAAGACTAGAAGGAGTGGTTAGGAAAGGTCAGGAATGCAGACAGCCCTTTTATCCACCTGCATTTTATCTTAACATTTTATGCCCCTGGTCTAGAAGGGGACAGGGGGTCAAAGCCCAGTGCCGAAGGCCCCAGGTTAGCATCTAGTTCCTCATGATGGTTCTGTTCTTCTCTTCGTTCGTCAGTGAGCTGTGCTGAGGAATGGTCAGGACAGGGAGAGAGGGCAGTGCGTGCCATGCGTCCTCCCTCAGCCCAGCCCAGCCTGTCAGTGGAGGCCCCCTGCTGCTGGTGGGATGTGGAGCACCTCCTTCAGTCTTTATTTCTCGAGCTTGAGGCAGGGAGGACTCTTAGGTCCTGTCTCTCCGGAGCCCCTTTCATACTGGGGTGAGGGCAGGCTTGTAGAGATGGATGGCTTGCTCCTCTGCCTTTTGTTGATATAGGTGTATGCACGTGCATGCCATGTGAGCACCCTCTTGGCAAAGGGCAGACCCAGTAGTGCTGATTGATCCTCCCTCCTCTGTTGCACACTAGAGCTGCATCTTCAGTTATCCCACACAGTGGCTCTCATGCTAAGATCTGTCCTTTGGCATTTTTGGACTTCAATTCCTGGGATTGGGAAGTGAAGGAATCAGATTAGGTGACTTCTCAGATCTAATGAATCATGGGAGTCCAGATGGGCCCCAGTGACTGGAAATCCCAGGTGCCATCATGAGCTCTAGGGATGGGACTCCTACATGCCTGGGGAAATGAGCTCTGAAATTGATCTAATCAGACCTGGGTCAGCGCAGCCTGCACTGACATAGTGGGTTAATTAATACCAGATGCCACTGAGCTAGATGGGCTGTTCTCCCTGGGGGAGCCAAGCACCTTCCCTGCAGGCAGCTAGAGGGGAGGCTGCCTGCTGAGGAAAGGCACCCTTGCCAGCTGCTTTGTTCCCTTCTTCTGACCCTCCCCTATTTCTTTCCCTCCGGTGAGCCCCACCAACAGCAGGAAAGAAGTGCCTGGTTGAGGAGAGAGGAGGGGAGGGCCCTAGGGCCAGAGCTGGGGCAGAACCTCAGTGAGAGCAAAGGCTGCCCTGTGGTCCACTCCAGGGCGGCAGGCCTCTTCCTTGGACTGAACAGGGACTTAGAATTCAAACCCTGACTTGGTTTACGTCTAGACGGACAGAAATAGGGACTGGCAGAGAGGTGTTTAAAGTCCTGAGGGCACCAAAAATGGGAGAAATGGAACATTGCCCTCTTTGAAAATAATTTGGCAAGACTCCATTTGTATATAAGCAGAAAGCTGTTGACACTTCTTTCCTGAGAAATGACGTAGGCATTCTTCTCCTTGTGGTCTTAGACTCCGGGGCCTGCTCTTTCTTGTAAGGGAGACCTTTCTCTGTTCAAAGATAAATTCGAAACCATTTATTGACCAGACAAGTCTTAGCTCTTTTTGCCCTCTCTCTGTCACCTCCTACCAGAAGAAATTTGAGTTAGCTCTTCCCCAGGTTCTCAGACTGCCACCCCTTGAAAGCCCTTTGCAGTGTTGATATGCCGCTATCCCTGTACTTGGGGGCATAGAGGACCCGGTGGGCAGCCTCTACCCCTTGCAAGTTTCCCAGGGGGTGTATTCTGGGTGCACTCTCTGTGTCTTTGCCCATCAGGAAAGAACGCCACTCTCTTCAGCCGCCACACCAAGGCTATCGTGTGGGGTATGCAGACCCGGGCAGTGCAGGGCATGCTGGACTTCGACTATGTGTGCTCCCGAGACGAACCTTCAGTGGCCGCCATGGTCTACCCATTCACGTGAGTCTCACCAGCTGCCAAGCAGGAGCTCCTCACCAAATCCGCTCCTCTGCTAAAACCAAGATTGAAGACCTAGCTAGATTATCTACTTTGCTGAGAAAGAGTCTGTCCATATTAGAGGTTGAGGTGATCTGTGTTCTTAGGGGACATTTTCCCATCAGATGGAAGCTCTTCCAGGCCACTTTGCTTCTTTTACCTTCTGGGTGAGGTGGCTTCTCTTGACTTCTCCCTCCCCAACTAGGCAGAGACAGAGAGGAAACCTTCCAGCCTTGACAGGTTGAGGGTGTCCTAACCCTTTCCCCTCCTTTCTTACAGTGGGGACCACAAGCAGAAGTTTTACTGGGGTCACAAGGAGATCCTGATCCCTGTCTTCAAGAACATGGCAGATGCTATGAGGAAACACCCAGAAGTAGATGTGCTGATCAACTTTGCCTCCCTTCGCTCAGCTTATGACAGTACCATGGAGACCATGAACTATGCTCAGGTATGTTGATGGACTGGGATTTGGGAATGGCCTTTTGTTTAGGTGAAAGTGGTGTAGACACTTGGTCTTCAGAGCTAGGGTAATAACTGAGGGCACCTGGGTCTGGGCAGTGATTACTTAAATAGACTTAGAGTCAATTCATCTGCTCCATCTAGCTGTTTTGTGCTATCCGAGATTGGCTTATTACAAAAGTACTACATACTTACTGTAGGAAAATTTAAAATATTAATAGATAAGATAAATATCTCAGATCTATGCCCAAAAACACAGCTGCTGACAATTTGATGATATCAGATTAATAACATACCTTTTTCTGGATTTGAACAAATTGTATGTAACTATTTTATAATCTACTTTCTTGGCTTTTTCCACATCGATAAATGTATCAAAAGCATCATTTTTGCTATTTCAAGTCTTGTGATGAGTGTCCTTAGATCACCATTACACATATTCTTAATTATTTTCCTAGTGTCCGTTTCTAGAATTTGAATTACTGCATCAGCTTGTGCAGATTTGAAAGCCTTTGATCTGTCCCGCCCAGGTGCCTCCAGAAAAGCTGTTCTTGAGAGAGTATCTACGTCTCTGTATCCTTGCCAGTACTGAAATTGGCATTGAAAATTTGTACACATTTGTCAGATTGATAGGCAATCTGTTTGATTTGCATATCTTTGATAATTAAGATGTGTGTTTTAAAGCATTTTTTTGCCATTTGTTTTCTATGACTGGCTTCCCCTTTTTTTATTGGGGTATTTGTGGCTTTTTAAATTTTTGATTTGCAAGAGACTTCTGTAGATTAGATTGATTCTTTTGTTCCAAACGATTGACCAATTGGCTTATTTCTGTCTTATGATTGTTGTTGTTATGTGCCATGGAGTTGGTTCTGACTCATAGCGACCCTGTACAGGGTTTCCGAGGCTATAAATGTTTACGGGAGCAGAAAGCCTCATTTTTCTCCCGCGGAACAGCTGGTAGTTTCGAACTGATGACCCCGAGGTTAGCAGCCCAATTTGTAACCACTACGCTACCAGAGCTCCTTTCTGTCAATGATTAGAGAACAAAATTTGTTTTGATAAGTAGATGAAGAGGTTGGCAAGACTACAAACCAAAGGCCAATTGATGTATCCCACTCCCTGTTCTTATAAATTAAATTTTTTGGTACACAGTCAAGCTCATTCATTTTCCTGTTGCCCATGGTTGCTTTTATGCTTCAAAGGCAGAGTAGAATGGTTGCCACAGAGATCACATGACCCAGAAAGTCTAAAATACTTTCTGGCTTTATATAGAAAAAGTTTGCCAGCCTTCTGGTCCATAGTCAAATAGAGATGGTTTTTGAGCCCATACCTCCCAGATTTCTCCCCCAGCCTGCTCTCAGGTCTGAGTGTGGAAGCAGCTCATTTTCCTCCTGTGCTGACCCTGTCCTGAGGACATAGAGGCAGCTATTCAGAGAGAGCACAGTGGAGAAACTCCGTAGACAGTTGCTGTTTGGGCAGACACAAGGGAAAGGAGGAACACAAGCAAAAGGTGGCTTTGAATCTTAGGAATTTCTAGAACAAAAAATGGATGTGGAATCCTAGTGTGATGCTGTAGGATAAGTACTGGATTGCTAGCCACAAGATCAGTGGTTCAAACTCACCAGCTGCTCCTTGGAAAACCTATACAGGGTCGCTGTGAGTCGGAACTGACTCAGTGGCACTTAATTACAACAACAGTAGTGCCTTTGGTTGTAGCAGGTTCTGTGGAGCAGTTGCTCCTGTTCTGTTAACTGAACTGCTCTATTGCCAATCCCTGTCCACTGTCTCTTTCTGGGACAGGGTTGGAGTGCTCAGACAGCTGTATACACTGCTAACATTACTCTGTTCTTAGTACCTGGAAGGGGCTTGGGGCTAGATCTGTGAGATCTGTGATCATTACTCTGTCTGAGGCAAAAGGTTCACAGAAAGGAACTGTTCTCATCCTCTAGATCCGGACCATTGCCATCATAGCTGAAGGCATCCCAGAGGCCCTTACGAGGAAGCTAATCAAGAAGGCGGATCAGAAGGGAGTGACCATCATTGGACCGGCCACTGTGAGCTCCCCCTGCTCCCCAGAGGCTTTCTTTTCCAGCTGGGACTACTGTATGAAGTTCTAGTCTCTCAGGAAACTTATCTGTAGATTCTCTGTCTCCCTCCAAGGCTGAAAAACCAACGGAGTACCTCATGGAATCTGCCGTCCACTTACACTTTTGAAAGGCTCCCTTCCTGGGTCCATATCACCTTTCTAGTTTTAAGGGGCTAGTGAGAAGGTTTTCTTATTTTAGTGCTTGCCTATCCTCATGCAATGATAACGTAGTCTCTGATTATTCCTTTAAACACAAACTATAGAAAAAAATTACTTAGTCATCTTTTTAACCCAAAGATGTTCAAGCAAGCAGAAATTGCTTTGTGAATTTGTTTGTTAGTCTTTGTTTCCATGCAGTTGTTGCATTAGAAAGCTGCCAGAAGCTTAAGATTGTTTAAATAAGCCAGGGACTTCCGTCTCAGAAGTAGGGGGATTTTAGCAAAGAAGCCTACCTGTATCATAAGCCAGTGACCCTTAGGGGGTACGGCAGCCCCTTTGGAGAAGAGAAATGGCTCAGCCTGAGTATGTAAGTCTGAATCTGCAGAGGGAGGCCATACTTTATCGATGAGACACTCCTTTTTCTCTGTAGTACTTCTTGTGGGAGAGAAAAGATTTCCTTTTAAGCTGGTGTGAATTCTCTTGGTTGTTTTCTCCCCTGCCTGGCCAGAATCCTTTTCTCCCTCCTTCCATCCCTGACTACTGCTTCTGCCCCTGCAGGTTGGAGGCATCAAGCCTGGATGCTTTAAGATTGGGAATACAGGTGGGATGCTGGACAACATCCTGGCCTCCAAGCTGTACCGCCCTGGCAGCGTGGCTTATGTCTCGCGTTCTGGAGGCATGTCCAACGAACTAAATAACATCATCTCCCGGACTACGGATGGCGTCTACGAGGGCGTGGCCATTGGCGGGGACAGGTGAACAGTGGGCTGGACCCTTAGTGTTGACTTGCTGCCACTAAGTCCAAGGGCCAGATCTGATGCTGCAGAACTGGTGTGAGCTGAAGTTGAGAAAACTCAGGGAAAGGTGTATTTACAATGTGTGTGAGCTCTGTGGTCATTCTTCCTGGTGTCTGAGGTGTGGCCACTGGGAGGCAGCAGAGTGCAAGGTTAGGAGGGCCAGTTCTGGAATCAGACTCCAGGGGCTCAAATCCCATTTCCCTGTTTGCAAGGTGGGGGTCCTGGCTAAGCTGCTTAACCTCGTTAGACCTCCATCACTATTACCAAGTATATAAAATTATAGCGCCCCCCTCCCCCTTTCTGAGTTTATTGGAAGGATGAAATGAGATCATGCATAGAACAGGGCTGACACTTAGTAAGCTCATGAGAAATGGTAGTCATTACTGTTACCGCGTCTAGGACCGCCATCACTCACTGTGACTCAGAAACCCAAAGCTTCTAGGACAGTGAGTCACCTTGTCAGTGCCCCTCAAGGCTGGACGAGGAAGATCTGCCGGGAACCCTAGTCTACAGCTGCTCCCTGACAGAAGGCTCCTGGTCAAATAGAAACCAAACCCAACCTCTGCTGTCGAGTTGATTCTGACTCAGAGCAACCCTAGAGGACACTGTAAAGCCACCACATGTGTGCTGCTCAAGGCACATCTTCCTGCTCAGTGAACCTCTCCTTTGCAACAATCTCTCTTCCTTTCCCATGTGCTCCATGATACCCAGCTCCATGATTCCTAAGTCATGTGGACTCTCCCTGGGGATCCACATCCAAGACAGATTCCACAGTGTTATTGTACAAACATGCTTCCCACTCCTGTTCATACACCTCCTGATCCCTGTGACCTCTCTGCTTGCAACAGGTATCCCGGCTCAACATTCATGGATCACGTGTTACGTTACCAGGACACTCCTGGAGTCAAAATGATTGTGGTCCTTGGAGAGGTGAGTTTTTAAGAAAACCGTTTTTCTGATTGTAAAAGTAATACTGTATCATCTCAGTTTTTAAAACTGTATACATAGCTTAAAGTGTCAGTCCCAGATAATCCTATGCATCTATGGTCCAAAACAAGGAGTTCTTGCCCTCGGTGGTATGAGATCTTTTAGCTCCAGCAGAGAAGCTTTGCTCTGGCTGACTATGACCTTTGTCTGATAGGCAGTGGATCGCTGGACTCAAAGCACATTTTTAAAGAGTTGCTTGTGCCTCTAAGCATATTTGACCATCTTCTTACCCCCCCAAATCAGAAAAGGGGTGTCCCAGAGAGAGCTGCTGTCCCTTTATATAATTCCTCCTTGTATCCGATTGAAATCTTCCAGCCTGAAAGATACCCTCTTTCTGTTATGTGGACAAAGCCCAGGTTCCTCCAATCTCTAGCCGCATTGCAACTCCTAGGATACTTGGTGGGTTTGGGTGCATGTTGAGTTGGGGCAGTTTTTCCTGAAATTGGTAAACTTGGTGGCTGTCAGTGTTACAGGTGGGCTTCACTAACTTGGGAACTTTGTCTTGCTCCCTTTCATTGATAGATAGGAGGCACTGAGGAATATAAGATATGTCGGGGCATCAAGGAGGGTCGTCTCACCAAGCCCGTGGTGTGCTGGTGCATTGGGACATGTGCCACCATGTTCTCCTCTGAGGTACGTTCCAGGCTTCTATAACGATGGTTCTCAAAACAAGACAAACAGCAAACCAAAAAGAAAAACAAAAACCAAGGAGACAGTTAGGAAAATGTTCTCTTTCCCTCTTAGACATTGCGCTTTAGTTTTGAGAAATCCCACAGTGAAACTTGTTGGAATTTGTGGAACCCAGAAGTTTCCTGAGTTGAATATAGAATCCCTTATCCTAACCACCCCATCCACCTGTGTATATTAATTTTAGGCGTGTGTTTTCAAGCTGCGTTAATGCTAACTTAGCAACTGCTGAAGGCCACTAAATATCCAGAAGCACAGACTCTGAAGCCACATCGCACACATACTAGCGGTGTGGCCTTGGGCACGTAACTTCACCCCTATGTACTCTCATTTCTTTATTTGCCAGAAAGTTATAATTGATGGAAAGATTAAATGAGTAAAGCTGCACATAGTTAATGGGTGGTGCAGCAGTTAAAGGTTCAAAACCCCCAGTCACTCTGCAGGAGAAAGATGTGACAATCTGCTTCCATAAAGATGATGCAGCCTTGGGAACTCTCCTCAGTCGTGTGGATTCCCTGTGAGTTGTTGGAATTGACTGGAATGCAATGGCAGTGAGGTTTGCTGTTTTACGTAAGTGAGTTAGATGTTATTAGGATTACGCAGCCCCCACCCCAAGTCTGTGTGCAGTCCTGGTGTGGTGCTGTAGGATAAGCACTGTACTGCTAGTCACAAGGTCAGCAGTTCTAACCCACTAGCTGTTCGTCGGAAACCCTATACAGAGTCTCTGTGAGTCAGAATCGACTCAATAGCACTTCACAACAGGGTTTTATACCTGGTGATTCATTGTTAAGTGCTGTTTTGTCAGTGCCGACTCATAGCCACCAGTATAGGGTTTCCAAGGAGTGACCGGTGAGTTTGAACTGCCAACCTTATGGTTCAAACTAACCTTGGGGTGCCACGCTTATCCTACAGCGGCACACCAGCAGTCTGGTGATTTGCTTTCTCCATCGCTTGGTTAAAGACACACTTGCTGATTGGTTTTGGCTTCTCTTGCTGGTTCTGTGTTAGTCCTTCCCCACAGTGCCATCAGACAGATTACCTCATTGCCTGGTCAGACAGCAGGGGGCAGTCACTGCTTGGCTCCAGGCAATGTTGCTCTGGGAGACTATGGGCCTGTTGTGAGCCCTGTATAGTGACCCCATGTGGCAGAAAAGAGCATCCAGTCTTCCCTCCCTCAGAGCAGCTGATAGGTTCCATCCACTGACCTTTCTGTTAGTAGCTGAGCACTTAACCACTGCACCACCAGGGCTCCTTCAATATGAACCATCCAGTCAGTTCCAACTGATAGCAACCTTCTCTAGGGTTTCCAAGAAGAGGCTAGTAGATTTGAACTGCAATAAGGACTCCAGTATGGATCTGCTGGTTGTGTGGCCTGGAGTCAGTTCCGACTCACAGCAACCTGGCAAAGGGTTTCTTTCCAAGGCTGTAAATCTCTATGGGAGCAGAACGCCTCATCTTTCTCCTGCGGAGCAGCTGGTAGTTTCGAACTGCTGACCTTGAGGTTAGCAGCCTGATTCATAACCACTACGTTACCAGAGCTCCTTAATATGGGCCTTTTTGTTGTTGTTACATGCCGTGGAGCCGGTTCCAACTCATAGTGGCCATGTACTGGGGGGTCCAAGGCTGTAAATCTTTACAAGAGCAGAAAGCTTCATCTTTCTCCTGCAGAACAGCTGGTAGTTTTGGACTGCTGACCATGAAATTAGCAGCCCAATTTGTAACCACTTTAATATGGGCCTAGTAGTGCAAAATATTCTGACTTTTTAAAAGAAGCTGAGAATTTGTACTTTTACAAGTAATCTGCTTTTGTTTTTATTTATTTGCTTTGTTATTATTGATTGACCACAAATATTTCATTATGTGGAAGTCCCATGCCGTAATTTATTTACACAGCACCCTATTGGTAGCTGTTATTTCCAGTATTTCTACTAAAAATGGTGCTGCTACAGTGAATGTCTTTGAACATTAGCACTTTACGCTTACGAGAATACTATCTGAAGAATATATTCCTAGAAACGTAGTTTTTTATTTTTTAAGTGCATATTTCATAAAAACTACTTGTGGCACAGTAAGATCGTGTCTGTGAGTTCTATCTGTAGCCTGCCAGGTGCCTACTGGACTTGTCACACATCACTCAAGCCCAGCCTCTGTTCCCTCCCCTGACTACTGCCTTAGTGGGAGCTGAGTGTGACTTTGAGGGTGGTTCTGGAACGGGCCTACCAGGCTCAGCATGCTGACTGACTACACGCTGTGTGACCATGAGTAGCTTGAGTTTATTTGAGGCTGGGATGAAGTGGTTTATATTAAAGTATCATGCTGGCCTAACGTGTGTTGACATCTCTTGGGATGTTTGTGTTTTGTCCCTCGGGGTGGGGATCCACAACCCACCCCATAAAGCTCTCGCCTTTGCCATCCAGGTCCAGTTTGGCCACGCTGGAGCTTGTGCCAATCAAGCTTCTGAAACAGCAGTAGCCAAGAACCAGGCTTTGAAGGAGGCTGGAGTGTTTGTGCCCCGGAGCTTTGATGAGCTTGGAGAAATCATCCAGTAAGTGTACCTTGCAGAAGATGCTGGCTTCTCCCATCCACAGACTGCATGCAGTCTCCCCACCCAGTGGGGCCTGATGCTGCTGATCCTTTTCAGGTGTTGAGCACTGTGCTGTGAATGGTCTCAAATCTTTTTTTTTTTCCTTCCCATTTGACTTTGGATTTGTATTGTTGAAACAGCAGCTTTCTCCTGTCACGTTACAGGCCATTCAGACTGGTGTTAAAATGTGCCCAGTTTCTAACCCTACCTGCCTGGCTCAGAGTTGATGGCTTCAAATGAGAGCATAATACTATTTAGGTGTCCCCTCTACTTGATGTCTAGTGTCTCTTCTTGCTTTTCTCTCTTAAACCTGCTTGGGCTGCTCCTCTTTTATCTTCTTTGGTTTCTAGATTCAGCTTTTTAAAAAGCCTTGTTTAGAGAAGCCGGGTGGTGGGGGGCAGTTTGACCATTGCTTGTTTTCATAGTGTTCCTGTGAATCCAGGTGGGAAGGAAGCTAAGGTGTTAAGAACCAGAGAAGTGAACCTAAGATGCTTAGAGTCCAGAATAATTGAATCCACATTGGCTGTCTTTTCTTCTGCTCCTTCCCTACCTCCCAGGTCTGTGTATGAGGATCTTGTGGTTAAAGGAGTCATTGTACCTTCTCAGGAAGTGCCACCCCCCACAGTGCCGATGGACTACTCCTGGGCCAGGGTAGGTGTTTGTACATGCTAACAATGTGGGGCAAGGGAGAGGGGCGTTCCACTAAGATGGGTTGGGTTGGCCCCCGAGAGAAGAGTGAATTTTCTAAATGTTGTTGTTAAGTGCCATTGAGTCGATTCTGACCCATAGCAACCCTGTATAGGGTGTCCAAGGAGCAGCTGGTGAACTTGAACCACTGACCTTGCAGTTCAAACAACTTTGCAGTCTGACGCATTAGCCTACAGCACCACACCAGGACTCTTAGAGACCAATAAAAAGAGACCAGTCATTCATTAGAAAAATGGGTAGAAAATGACCTTTCAACATGAAAAACACTGAGCTGCACTCAAAAAAGGGGTCAAATTAAAAATTGTTGATACTGATTTCCTCTTATCACATCAGTGAAAATGAAGACAATTTGTTTAATAATGTGTTGTGTGTGAGGAACTTGGTGCCTTCATTCCTCGGGGCGTGGAAGTTGGCATGACCTTGTAGAAGGCTCTTGGCTAATATATCAAATGTTTTAAATCCTCCTACCTGTGGTGTGAGTTTGGCCCAGGATCGGGCAGTGTTTTGTTCTGCTGTGCATAAGGTCGCTGTGGGTCGGTACCGACTCGATGGCACCTAACAACACCACCACCACCTGTGGTCCAGCCATTCCATATCTGAAAACTACAAAGCTACACCAGAGAAATGTTTGTTCATATAAACTAAGAAATGTATATAAATCTGTTGTTGTTGTTAATAGATATCAATAAGGAATGTCTAGACTATGATATGAGGGGCTTCAAAAAGTTCATGGGAAAACCCTATTGATTTTCATTCCATTTCCCATGAGTTTTTTGAGGTCCCTTTGTGTAAGGAGCCCTGGTGGTGAAGCCCACAGCTTGGCGTGCAGACTGCCCAGCAGCTCCACAGGAGAAAGAGCTGGCAGTCAGGCCCACAAAGGTGACAGCCGAGGGAACCCTGGGGGCCAGTCTACTCTGCCACTTGGGGTTGCTATGAATCTGCATTGACTTGATAGCACGTAACAGCGACACTATGATATCATCATATGATGGGATAGCACCTGCTATTAGATTTTCGATATGTATACTACACACATTGTTGTTAAGTGCTGTCCAGTCAGTTCTGACTCATAGACATCCTGTATAAGGTTTCTGAGGAGCCCGGTAGGTTTGAACTACAGATTTTTTTGTGGTTCGCAGTCCGGTGCTGATCCTACAGCGCCACACAAGGAGTCTAACATGTATAGAACTCAAATTCATTGCATATGATAAGACGGTGTGTTATGATTATGAAAAATTCACACACACAAAATGACATTGAATATTCTCTACGTTCCTATGTATATATACAAATAAAAGTAGAGAAAGAAAGGTCCAGAAAGCTACTCACTAAAAAGGTGAAGATCAGATTAGTGTGGAGATCATAGGGGATTTGTTGTTAAGTGCCAGCTCAAGTCAATTTCAACTCACATCAACCCTGTGTAGTGTTTCCAAGGAACAGCTGGTGGGTTTGAACTGCTGACCATGTGGTTCATAGTCCTGTAGCGCTATACCAGGAGTTTTTAAATTTTTTTAAAAGGAGGGCTTATTTAAGTGATTTGTGCAATTAAAAAGTAACCTAAAAGCCAATTTAAGGGTCAGTAGGGGTCGTTGAAGTGGGGTTGGACATAGTTGGCTGGTGCTTCCCCAGAAGTGCCCTGCTCTCCAAACAGGAAGTTCAGGAGCTCCAACCACTGCTGCCTTCTCACTCTCATTTCCTCGACCTCCCTTCTTGGAAGAACAACATATCTATCCAAGGACTCCCCACTTTCATTATATTTAGTGGGCAGCTGGCAGTTACATGGGAAGGGTTTAGAAGATTTCCTTTTGGATTCAAAAATGGAATCTTAGATTTCTTGGTGATAGGACCTTGGGCTGGCTACTTGGCCTCTCCAGGTGTCATTTACTATGTAACAAGGGAACAAGATTCTCCCGTGATGGGTACAATGAACTGATGGATGCTAACTACGCAGCGTACTGCCTAGCACAGAAAAGAATCCGAGAGGACAGAAATCGCGCTGGTGCTGCAGGGGCCTCCGGAAATGGCACCCCTGTTTGCGATGCCCTAAATGATCTGATAAAACACACTTTCCTGGGAGGACTTTGCCTGACAGTTGCTGTATGATCTCCAGAATTTTAAGACCTTGGCTACCTTGGGAGTCCTGGTGTGGCACTGTAGGATCAGCATTGAAGTGCTGACTAAAAGATTGGTGGTTCAAACCCACCAGCCACTCCTTGGAAACTCTATATAGGGTTGCTAAGAGTTGGAACTGACTTGACAACACTTAACGACAAGACACCTTGATTCTGAGAACACAGACGTAGCAGTTCTGGAAAACTGATCACGCTCGCCTTGCTTCTTCCTTCCCTATCTCTGCTCAGGAGCTGGGTTTGATCCGCAAACCTGCCTCATTCATGACCAGCATCTGTGACGAAAGAGGGCAGGAGCTCATCTATGCAGGCATGCCCATCACCGAGGTCTTCAAGGAAGAGATGGGCATTGGCGGGGTCCTTGGCCTCCTCTGGTTCCAGAGAAGGTGAGATGCGGAGGGCAGAAGATGGTAGGGCCCTCACGGAGTAGGCTGGGCAGGCCTGGGGAGGATGTCTTATGGCCACAGATGGTGACATTGAAAGGCCAGAGGAAGGACACATGGGACTGAAAGGCCAGTCTAAATCAAGAGAAGTGGAAATTATTGACCACATCAGACATCTTGGAGCAGTCCCTTTCCTTTGGGAATTTTTAAGGAAATTGGAGAGTGTAAATGTAGGTCTTTTGAGGGAAAGGGAGGGGTAGACCAGGGAGATCTGTAAGGATCTGAAACATAGAGTAGGCCTGGCAGAATAGCTGAACAGACATAGTTAAAGTCCCTCAGTGTAACTGCTTTGTAAACTCTAATCAACTGTTAAAGGGAATTTTATTTTCTTTGCAACTTCCAAAGCTAGCTGAGCCTGGAACTGACAAATAGGCAATTAGAGGGGGGAAGGGTAATGAGTATGTGCTCCCTGCAACCCTGGCTTGAGGTGGCACTGGGTTTGTATCATGCTGTTACCTTCCTAGGAAAAGTTCATGGGTTGTAATACCTGAGCAGGTTTCACTCTGCCTGCTCTTTCAGCCTTGTATCCCCAGACTTTGTCCTTGATCATTAGTTGGGAGGTTGACCACTGTGCAGAAGGCCTGGGCTCCCACACTGAACAGGACAGAGAGAGGTCTCCTCTGTGTCTGGCACATGGAGTGTAGCCACAAATACAAGGCATTCCCTGCTGAACAACTCAGGCTGAGAACTGCTACTTAGCCCTGGCTGCCTATCCTAACAGTAGTATTTGAGCGCAGCAAAGTCCAGAGCTGCCCAAGCATCAAGGTGTTTTGCCTTGGGGTTGTAAAATAGTGTTAAGGCTTGGACTGCTGCCCTTCTCCAATGTGAGTTACTTGTTGAGGGAACTGAGGAAAGCCAGGATGTGTCCATGTCAGCATACCTCCTGTTTAATAGCCCACCTCTGTTTCAACTCTCCATTCCCGGTCCCTTGACTCATCCCCTCTAGGTTACCCAAGTACTCCTGCCAGTTCATTGAGATGTGTTTGATGGTGACAGCTGACCACGGGCCAGCCGTCTCAGGGGCTCACAACACCATCATCTGTGCACGGGCTGGGAAGGACCTGGTCTCCAGTCTTACCTCAGGACTGCTCACCATCGTAAGTGTTGTCACCCTGGGCGGGGAGCAGGAACATTGAGCTTTGGCATCATGCTGGATGCTGTTCCCCACATACCAGGTGATTCTGGGAAGGCTACAGAAGACTTAAACAGCTCAGGGCAACCCAGGGTGGTTTCTCCTACAGGGGGACCGGTTTGGAGGTGCCTTGGACGCAGCAGCCAAGATGTTCAGTAAAGCCTTTGACAGTGGTATTATCCCCATGGAGTTTGTGAACAAGATGAAGAAAGAAGGAAAACTGATTATGGGCATCGGTCACCGAGTGAAATCGGTAAGTTATTGTTACTCTCCTTCAGGCGTGGGCCTGGAAGACTCGGGGGTGGGGAGTAATAACAAGAGAGTATCTGTTAAGTCAGGCAACACCCACGCCCTCCAGTCCCAAAGTGTAAAGCAGTGGTTGTGTTACTTATTTTTTCTACTTTGTGATATAGATTGCTCTTAAACTGTTTTTATCTTGTTAAATTATGGCATGAAAATCTGATTTTCTAGGAACTTGGCAACTTCCGCTTCCCAAAGGCATCATAGAGTAGAAGGGACTAAGGTCCTAGTTAAGGGTTGTATCGTTTAGCTCAGGCTAGATTGTGCTACAGGAACAACTCTATTATTATATCCATTGGACTCTGGTGTGGCACAGTAGGATCCGCACTGGCCTATGAACCACAAGGTCAGCAGTTCAAACTCACCAGCTGCTCCTCAGAAACCCTATCCAGGGTTGCTGTGAGTCAGAACTGACTCGATGGTACAACATTCTGTCCACACCGACAGTTAGCTGCAGAAGGGACATTGCAGTAGCAGAACCCAGTGAAGACTGTTGGAGCTTCTGTTTGGAAGTCTCGGGATGCATTTGCTCTCACATTTCATTGGCTAAGGCAAATCACATGGCAAAGTTTGACATCATTGGGACAGGAAGTCTAGTTCGTCAGGGCAGGCATGACTGGGAGAAACAGGTGGGAAGACAGTCACTATTTTAAACAGTTAATGCAGTCTCACACAGTCCTCTGTGAATCCCGGTAGCACATTGGGTTTAGAAAGCAAAGTGAAAGAGAAGAGGTAGCTAGCAGCTACTTCAGGCCAGATAAGGACGGTACATAAGCACTGGACTGCGAGTCACAGGGTCGGCGGTTCAAACCCCCCAGCTGCTCCTGGGAAACTCTGTACAGCGTCACTCTGGGTCGGAATCCACTCAATGGCACATAACACAGAGGGGCAGCTCTGTTGTCCTTGGTCCTGGAGTTCCAGACACCTCATTTAGTTGGGCACCTGGCTGGTCTGGCCGGGAAGTGTGACTCACATTAGTTAGCTCAGAGGGTCCTGCCTTCCCCATGGCATAACTACCCATCATGTGTGTGATCCAGGACACTCCTGTTTACACATTCAAATGCTTGGCCAGCTCAGCTTAGAATTCTAGACTTTGGTTGGTGAGCAAGGACTGGGTCGGAGCCAATGAAGTGGTTTGTGGAACATTTCACCCCAGGCTTACTGGACCTTGTTCTGCCATCCTCGGTTCTGAGCAGGTACTTGTAATGCACCGCACAGGCCTTATTCCAAGATCACACAAGACCTGTGCTGCCCCATTCAGTCTTTTGGGGATCCTTCTTCTCTTGGGGAGGAGCTGAGGTTACTGTAGTATTGAGATTTGAGGTGTACATAAATCGTTCCACTCCCTCACTGACATTATTGCTTAGTGTGGGTCCTTTTCTTGTTAAGTGCCATTGAGTCGGTTCCAAGTCATAGTGACTCTGTATAGGGTTGGTGAGGAGTGACTGGTGAGTCTAAACCTCCAATCTTGTGGTTCAAACCAATGTCTTGGTAGAGTGCTTACCCTACAGTGCCACATTAATCTCTATTCATTGAAGGCACTGATTTTTTCATAAAATTTCAGGGGTACTTTGCCACCCTGCTCATAACATGCTTGCTTAATGTAGAACTTTTTACAACTTGACTATGGTCTCTGCCACCTAATACTGTATTACTTAACATGTCTAAGTCCCAGTTCCTTATTTGTTAAAGAAAATAGAACCTACAAAGGTGGGTTTGAGGCCCAAGTGAGATGTGAGAAAACTTCAAAAACCTTAAGCCCAAACAATGTCATAACATATGACACATGGAATCATACATGTAGGCCTGTTTCTCCTATGTGCCATTCTGTCAACCTGTGACACAGGTACCGACACATCCCTGAACAGCTGTGTTCTGATGGGTCCCTCTGTAACTTTTGGTCAATTTGTAGATAAACAACCCGGACATGCGAGTGCAAATCCTCAAAGATTATGTGAAACAGCACTTCCCTGCCACCCCTCTGCTTGATTATGCACTTGAAGTGGAGAAGATTACCACCTCAAAGGTAAAAAAGGAAGAATTTGCAAATTCTACTTCTGTGTGAATTTCTTGGGGTCTGGAGGGATAGGGGAGGAGAAAGACGTCACATTTTGATCATGCAAATGAAATCTGGTTCTAGAAATTTTGATTTCTGTGTCACAACTAAATTAAGTAGACATACAGAGTCATCAAGGTGTTGAGCTCTTTGCTAGACACTGGGAATTCAACAGTTATTTTTGTTTTTTTAATGAACTGGGAGGTTCCGAAATGAGATTTTTAAATAGCGGTCAAATTCTGTAGTAATAGTTATTGTTAAGTGCTGTCGAGTTAATTTTGACTCATAACATCCCTGAGAGAAATAAACACTTTGACTTTTTTGTTTTTCCAGAAGCCAAATCTTATCCTGAACGTCGATGGTTTTATTGGAGTTGCATTTGTCGACATGCTCAGAAACTGTGGGTCCTTCACTAGGTGAGCTCATGCCCTTTTCTTCATTTGTTGATGTTCCTTTTTCATTATGAAAGAGCTGCATGCTAAACATGTTTATTAAAGAGAATTTAGAAAATATGGAGAGACGTAAAGAAGAAAACAAAAAATGCCTCTAATGACCACATAGAGCACGTATGTTTCCTTTCTACTTTGATACCAAAGAGCTCTGCTCCATCCCTGGGCAGAAGTAGTACTGTCTGTGGGGAAGAGGACAGTCATGTGACCATTTACAAACTACAAGGTGATTGTGTGTTGCAGGGAGGAAGCAGATGAATATATTGACATTGGAGCCCTCAATGGCATCTTTGTGCTGGGAAGGAGTATGGGCTTCATTGGTGAGTTCACTGTTGTTTTAAGGGATGTTTTTCCTCCCTACAGTTCAGCTCCACCACTTGCCCTTTGCATGAATAATTTCTTTTACTAAGATCAGCACAAGGCTGCTCCCTGTGAGTTCGAGGTTAAAAGATATCCCAACTGTTCAACTTTTCCAACATGTTAAGTCCCTTCATTATCAATCGCCACTCCTCCTCCCTTCCCTCAAGTCCCAGGGTTCTGCAACATGCTATGTAACGTTCCACAAAACGCACCATTGTCAAAAGAAATGGCTCACGCAATTGTGGGGCTGGAAAGTCCCAAATCTCTAGTTCAGAGATTAGTCAGGAGGAATCATCTATTTCAGAGATTCGTCGGGAGGAATCATCACACCTATGCAGTTCCGGGAGGTGAGGGACCCAAATTGGCAGGCCAGACAACAGGCTGTTGATGCACAAAGCGATGGGAGCTGGTGAATCAGATCAGGTGATGGACCCAGAGTCCTCAGAACTAGAGATCAGACATACTGAGCCAGATGCAAGATCCAGGGCAAGAGAGCAAGCTTTTCCAAAGCAGTTTTATGGGGACCTAAGGGTAGTGACTTGAGTCACACCCTCTGCTAAGGTGGTTGTTATTAAGTGCCTTCTGACTCATAACCACCCTGTATAGGGTTTCCAAGGAGTGTGGTGAGTTTGAACCACCAACCTTGCAATTCAAATCAACCTTATGGTTGGATGCTTATCCTATAGCACCATGCCAAGACTCCTTGTTGTCGTTGTTATGTGTTGTGGAGTCACTTCTGACTCATAGCAACCCTGTATAGGGTTTCCGAGGCTGTAAATCTTGATGGGAGCAGAAAGCGTCATCTTTCTCCTGTGGAGCGGATGGTAGTTTCGAACTGCTAATCATAAGATTAGCAGCCCAGTTTGTAACCACGATGCTACCAGAGCTCCTTGCCAAGACTCCTTAGCCCCACTTAATCTTTGTTGTTGTTGAGTGCCATCAAGTAGGTTCTGACCCATAGTGCCCTGTATAGGGTTTCTCAGGAGCGACTGCTAAGCTTGAACCACTGACCTTGTGGTTCAAACTGACTTTGCAGTCTAGCACATTAATCCACAGCGCCACACCAATCTTTACTCCTTAATCTTTACTCCTTAAGAACTCATTTCACAATGGATCCATAATCACAAACATCGAGGCTAGGATTTGCAAGATATCACAGAATGGAGAAATTTGGGTAGAAGGACCATAATAAAGAATTTGCTGCCCTGTACCCATGTAGTGAGTTTCTACAAAAGAAATGTCACATTTTCTTAATCTTCCCTTTCTTCCTTTAACCTCATTCTTGTCTTTATGTTTGTACTTAGAAACAAACTCAGTTGCTATCCTAGGAAAATAGTTATCCTGGTAACTTATCTTGGGAAAATCCAGCAGTTCCTAATACCGAGACTGGCCGACCTACTTATTGAATTGATCTAGATTTACTTCCCCATTTCTTTACCTACCTTTTTTTTGTCTTAGAAAGATTTCCCTTCCATACCCTCTCCTCTTGGCCAAACTTGGCAAACTCTAAAAGCTGTGTTTGCTCCATTTCAGGACACTATCTTGATCAGAAGAGGCTGAAGCAGGGGCTGTATCGTCATCCGTGGGATGATATTTCATATGTTCTTCCGGAACACATGAGCATGTAATTGAGCCAAGAACCCTACTGCAGTAAAGTGAAATCAAGAACTCCTTCCCTGGGAAGTAGCGTGCAGATAGCTGGCACTGGAACCTGCTGTAGGATGGGCCTGGAATGTAAACAGCCACAGTCTCCAGCACCAAAACCAACTCCATAGGCTCACATACAGTCTGTCCACACAAGGAAGCTTCATGTTTTCTTTGGTCTTTTTTGTTTTTTTATACATATATATATATATATAAGCTTAGAAATAAAAACCAAGCCAATACTTGTGACATTTGCTCTGCTACCTACTGTATTTATTATATGAAAGCATATAAGCACTGTCATGGTAGTGTTTTTCCCCATTGTAGGGTGTTATGATGTTGCTTTATTTTTTCATTAATTAAAAAATAATGTTTCCTTTGGAGGGTAAGGATTGAAACTTTTAAGACCTCAAGATATACTACATTTAAGATACCCCTAATACCTTGCTTTTCTACTTCCCTTTTTCATTTAACATGAAGAGCATTGTATTAATTGGATTTTTTTTTTTTTTTTTTTTTAGGATCTTTTTGTATGTTATGTGTTAAAGGTTTGTTTGGTACCCCACTGACACATTCTATGTTACAGACTCAACTCTGCTGATGTCAGGGGGATTGGACCATTACATCCTTAGCCACTGTCACAAAATATGTGGAATAGTCATTTAAAATGTAAAGTTGTAACATACGTATGTTTAAAATGGTAATGCAAAGCAAAAAGCTGTGAAATGTCTCTTGTTGTCTTCTCTGTATTTATGCAGCTGGCTTGTCTACATGTTACTGAAGTGTGGGTCCAAGGACTCTCCTCCAGCTACTTTGCATCTATAATTCACAAAGATTCTGGACAGCTGCCACCACCCATCCTCTCTGTATTATCAGAATTTCGTTGAAATAAACTATAGTAACAACAAAGGCATACTAGTGTCTGTGTCATCCATACCCTCTACAATTGTGCTTTGTAATAGTGTACTATGCATAGCTTTAAAACACACATCCCATCTCTTCAAAAAAAAAATAGTTAACAACATTTTCTTTCTCTTCCCTTTAGCATTATTATTTATTTTGAAACTTTTTATTGTGAATTGAGTGCATTTACAGAGCAGATCATCAGTTTGACATTCAAAAAATAACATACTTTGTTTCATCTCAATGATTGCAATCCCCTCCACGTACCAACAGTTATCTCACATCCTCCCTATGGTTCTTAACTTCCATTCCACTTTCCTTTCCATCCTTTCTCAACTTGGTCGGTAGGTGTTGCCCTTTCGATTTTGAATGCTTGACCCTTCCATGGTGAGCATACCTTACTAGAATTGTCATTTTCCCCATAGATACTCATCTACTGGTTGGTAGAAAACTGGACCACGTTCAGTTCCAGATCTGAAGGGTACCCAAGAGCCATAGTCTAAGTTTCTTTCAGTCTTTTTCTGACCAGTTAAATGCAGTCTTTTTATAATCTTGAGATTCTTTCCATATTTTCTCCCACTCAGACCTAGTGTGATCCCTTTCAGAGCAGTTGGTGGAGTGGTAGCCAGGAATCATCTAGTTTTTTTACTAAAAGTAATACAGAAATGGCTACAAGCATACATTGACAGAGAACTAACCCTATACAGACAGAGTCACTCTGAGTCAGAACCAATTCGATGGCACTTAACAAGAAAAATGACAACAATGGGTGATAATCTATGATGGCTTTTACTATACAAAATGACTTTGACTATTAATCTATGATGGCTTTTACTATACAAAATGACTGTTTTCTAAGGGGAAGGAAAAAAATCCATCCACCCACCCACCAAGATTAGGAGAGGGAGGCCTTGCAAAATTTTCATAAATCGAGTGAGGTATGTAATAATATTTTGATGCACATCACAGACTAGCGCTCGCCTGTTAATTTTTAATATAGTAGGCTTTGCGGAGGATTGGTTTATAACAGGGTTGCACGTAAATCGGAGTTCGTAAACTGGGGCCCACCTGTAATCATCTAGGGTTGCGGATTAAGTTTGAAGCCTCTCCAATGTAAATCAGTTTGGGCAACGGGCACGGAGGCGCATGCGTAGCCCCGGGCTCGCACTCCAGGCTCCGCCCCGCGCCCACTATAATCCCAGAATCCTTCTGTGGCGCTCCAGAACGGTCGGATCGTTCTGAGACTGAGGAGTTGGACTCGGCGGCGCCAAGATGGCGGCGGCGGCGGTGGCTGCTGCGGCGGCAGCGGCCGCAGCTGCGTCTCTTCAGGTATTGGAGATGGAAAGCATGGAGACCGCTGCCGCCGGCTCAGCAGGACTGGCCGCCGAAGTCAGAGGCAGTGGCACGGTGGACTTCGGGCCTGGGCCTGGAATATCTGCAATGGAGGCGAGCGGGGGAGATCCTGGCCCAGAGGCCGAGGACTTCGAGTGCAGTTCTCACTGCTCGGAGCTGTCCTGGAGGCAGAACGAGCAGCGGCGCCAGGGCCTCTTCTGCGACATTACCTTGTGCTTCGGCGGGGCCGGGGGCCGCGAGTTCCGGGCTCACCGCTCGGTCCTGGCTGCTGCTACCGAGTACTTTACGCCTCTACTGTCGGGCCAGTTTTCCGAGTCCCGCTCCGGCCGGGTGGAGATGCGCAAGTGGAGCTCCGAGCCCGGACCCGAGCCCGACACGGTGGAAGCCGTTATCGAGTACATGTACACCGGGCGGATCCGCGTCAGTACGGGCAGTGTGCACGAGGTGCTCGAGTTAGCCGACAGGTAGGTGAGGGAGGTGACAGCGCGGGTGGAGGGGGGAGGAGAGGGCGAGGAGGCCGGCGGTTACAGGTGAGTATCCAGTAGGCGCTGAGCAAATGCATTCCTCTAATCTTCGTGGAGCGCCTTCTGTAGGTCAACCACTGTGCTGGGGACTGAGGATGTCGCCGTCTAGTCCGGCCAGGTGCCATGCACTGATGGAGTTCAGATTCCATCTCGGTGGAGGGACAAAGGCCATGGAAAAGAAAGTCGGCCTGTAACCCGTGCTGGGCTTGCGTTAAAAAGGATGAAAGCTCTCACCGAGGAGGTGACATTTAAACCGACCTCTGAATTGGTGGTACCAAGAGGGGAGAAGAACGTTCCAGGTAGCTAGAATCAGGCAGGATGCAGTGATCCAGTTTGGGATGGAGAAGGAAAAAAAGAAGCCGATAAGACCGGATCTACAGGGTGATGGGAAAATGGCCCGAAGTATGTCGGAAGAAGGCGTATGGGAGGAAGCTGGGTTAAGAAAAGATCGAATTGAAAGATTCCAAAAAATTCTTCTCCGGTGTTGAGGAAAATGGATTATAGGGGTCAAGAATGGATGCTAGAGACTGGTTAGGAATCTGGTGAATGCTGTTTACAGAGATGGGGAAGAGGCTGTTTTGGTAATGCTATGTGACAGATTTATTTTAACAAAGGCAGTCATGCACCACATAACGTCTGTTTCTGCGAAATCTCTCTGCATATACATCTGCGGTCCCATAAAGTTAATGATTGTTGTTGTTGTTATGTGCCGTGGATAACTTTCAGAAATTCCAATTGGAGAACAGAATAATAGTGAAGGCTACAGCTTTCTGCACACAACATATGTGCTTGTATACAAAGTGATTGCACTGCCAGGCAGGCATATAATGATGTAGTGCATACATGACATAAAATACATGTGTCATGTTAGTCACAGTAAACCCATATGTTACTGGCTTATGTATGTATTGTACTATATTTTTTATCTAAGAAGTTTACCATTTAGCAGCATATGTTGTGACTTGTAGGCGGCAGCAGCAGCATCCAATCCTGTGTATCGTGCAGCACCGTCCATCCCTTAAGTCATATAGCTTTATCTCTGTTTAATTTTCCCTCGAAGATTTCACTATGAGGTGCAACATAGCTCTCAAATGCAGCAGAGCTAATGGTAGTTATATGCAGTGGCAAGAGGCAAAGGAGAAGTATCAACTGGAAGTGACAACATGAAGATGGAAAATCAATTGAGTGTATTGCTGGCGACTTAGGCATGTCACACTTGACAATCATGATGATCCACAAAAAGAAAGCAAAAAAACCAAAACAAAGCAAAAATCCTCTAAACTGTGAAAGGATCTACTCTGCTGAAAGCTACAGGGCTATCAAAAATGCAAGAGAAATCTATATCAGATTTTGAGAAATTGCTAATGATGTGGATAGAGAGGACCAAACACAAGTGAATCCCTCTCATTGTATAGGCACAAAGCTTGTTTGAGATGCTTGAAGAAAAAGCAGGAGTAGACTATGATACAGTTTTCACATAACATTCGATTTTGTAGAATGTATTGTGGATTTAGGAGCCCTGGTGGTACTGTGGGTTAAGCATTGGGCTGCTAACCAACCAGCCACTCCTCAGGAGAAAGGTGATGCTGTCTACTCCTGTAAATATTTATAGTCTTGGAAACTATTGGGATGGAATTGACTCGATGGCAGGGGGTTTGGTGTTTTGGGTTTTATCATGGGCGTTATGAAATGCTGTACTTGCTGAGAATCTTGTAGGCATCAGACCAGATACTGGGTTTTCTAAGGTGCTGGGGAATCAGCATTAGACAAAACAGAATAAAGTCCCTTTGCTCATACCACTTACATTGGTAGATAACCAATAAGTAAAATATACAGCATATGGGATCATTGTTACAGCTATAATATAATAAAGCATGGCCAGGGCATACAGAAAGTGCTGGACTTTAAAAAATGAGTGGATAGGGAATGCCTCTTGGAGAGAGACTTTACAAAGACCTGAAGGAGGCAAGAGAAAGAGTGTTTCATTTAGAGGACACGTGTGCAAAGGTCCTGAGTTTGGAGCTTGTCTGGATGTTGGAGAATTAGCAGAGGGCCAGAGTGCCTGGAGTAAAGGGATAGAGGGTGAGAGGTGTAGGACAGGCTACAGGGTGGCAGTAGGGATGGATTCATATCTCACAGAGCTCTTTTGACTTTTTTTTTTTTAATGTTTTATTGTAAATTATGTGATAGTTTACATGGGAGAAATGGGAGAACATTAGTACATTCATCCTATCGTATATCGTTTCATTGCCATGGTTACAATCCCTTTCATGCATCATCAACCAACCAAAGGGTATACACTACAAGTACAAGCCTTCCTTCCCCCCCCCACCCCCGTCTTCAGCACACAGCCCCTCTCTCTCTCTGTGTCTAAAGTCCCCAATTGCTCCGTTTCTCCACATCATCATCTCTGCTCCATCTCAGGCATCACTGCTTCTCTGGGTAGGGTCCTACTCTCCATGGTCCCAGGGACCTCTCCTAGGCTGAAAAGTTAATCACTCCCCTCCTTGCTACAAAACGTCTGCCTGTACATTTCCAAACCTCACAGGCAGTCCTGATAACAATTATTCACTATTATATCACAAGAGACCCATCCACATTTCATTTCATCAGCCCCACCTAGACAGATTGTATACTACTCAATGGAGATTCTACCTTCCTTCATGCCCTCTGTATCTAGATTCCCTCTTGAAAGCTTATAAGCCAGTCACTTCTTGCC